TTGTTATTTATTTATTTATTTAATAACAGTTTGAATTGATTGAACGAGCATTCTCCACTCTGAGACTGGTGCTTACCGACTACCGCAATCGTTTGAGCCAGGATGTTCTTGAGAACATATTGCTGGTCAAGTTAAATCCCAGCTTTTTGGATGTGGCCATTGACACCTTGCCACTGTTTGAAAATGAAAATGAATAAATTTATTAATACTCAAACTGTTTTTATGTTTTTATTTTAATTAATTTTGTTTTTATTTATATTGAATTACTCGCATTTTTGATTTATTGTGTTATTTTTCGTTAAAATTAAAAAATAAGATAAAAAACATGAACAAAAAGGTACAAGAAGTACGAAATTATTATTTGCCAAAAAATTAATCAAACTCATACAGTGGCTCCAAGCTTATTTCGTGCAAGAATTATTAACAATTTTAAATCGGCCCTGCCGGATAACTAGCAAAGATATCTCTAAAATTTAAACGCAGTATTTTGGAGAAACACTTTGTTTATTTAACTAACAAAATTTTATTTTCCTAATCTTTAAAATAAATTAAAAAATTAAATAAATAGAAAAAATGTGACAATTCTCACACCCAAGCTTATTTCGTGCAAATATTTTAAAAACAAAAAACAGCTATTTTAGACTTTAAAATCGAAATTTTTTTTCTATATTACTTTTTTAAGTACTAGTCAATACATATTTTATTGGTTTTAGATGCTGGCCCTACATATTTAAGGATATATAAGAAATTCTTTGTGGCAGTACCATGTACCATGAGTGATCAATGGAAATTACTCCAAAATCACTTTAAAAGTGACAAATATCATCGTGATTTTTCCGATATGGTTTCCTTAACCCCTACTGCATTCCATTACATAATTAAATCATTTTTTTGTAGGAGTTTCGTGGCAGATTGGGGTCGAGATAGACAAATACTTATACATTTTTCAGTGAGCTGTGTTGTATTATCCTTATAATAAAGGAACAGGAGATACTTTCAGTTCCCAAATTAGATGCATTATATTGAGCACGAAATATGTAACAAATGTAGTGTGAAATAGGTGCGCCCTATGTTGCAGGATCACATATTAAGAGGTCAAGTAGTATCAAAACAGCCATTTATAAGCAAACATTACAGCAAGGATCGTCTAAAATCTGCATAGAAGGTTATAATTCACTCGATTTTCTTTCGGAATGATTTTATCCTTACATATAAGTAAAAAATTAGCCAATTTAGTTTTGGATGGACTTAAATATGTGCTGTGGTGACTGAATTCCGGCCTGTAAAATAACCACCTCAATGCATTTGTGAAGCAAGCCGGATTCATTCCATTGTTGGACCTGTATGGCGTCAATTGGCGTGACGAAACAATTTTTTTTCAATGAAATAGTAAATGGCGATATGTTTCCTTAAAAATTAAAGAAAAATTTGCTTAAAATGGCAGCAGAACTGCGCCTACGGGGTCGTTTTTGGTAATATCAGACTAAGATCATACGTGCTCGGCAGGCTTTGTGAGGGCGTGGCTCGTCTGGAAACGAACAAAATTTATAAAAAACATTACAAAAATCAACATTTTGAAGTGTTACTACAAATTTTAACCAAAAAGTAGACTCAGTCATTATAAAAAAAGAGATAAAATAAATATTAACTCAAAGGTGCTATAAGGAAATAATGGCTTAATAGTCTAGTAGAAATATATATAAAAAAAATTTTTTTCGTATAGAATATTTGGAAAGTTGTTAAAGAATGAAGATAGGTAAAAAAAAATATGGTAAAATCTAAAAATAAAAAAGTTATTTTATATTTTCTGAACTGCACGAAATAAGCTTGGGTGTGAGAATTGCACTCTTTTTCCTATTTATATGATTTTATTATTTGTTTTAATTATTAGGAAAATAATTTTATGTTAATTAAATAAACAAATACTTTCTCTAACATACTGCGTTTAAATTTTTAAAATATCCTTATTAGTTTAGCGGCAGTGCTAATTTGAAGTTGTTGTAAATTCTTGCACGAAATAAGCTTGGAGCCACTGTAGGTCATAAATGAAAAGTCGCGACGCTCGAAAACAACGGCAGTTTCGGGCGACTTCCACGATCTGCATATTCTTGCTAATTTTGACTTACGCTGCTGATCGAAAGCAACAGCTACCAAAATCAAAAGTAGCAAAAAGTCGAATGCAGCGACTTATGCGACTGTAGCTGCCGACGACTTCCGAAAGTCGACGCATGCCACAGCATCGACTTACGTCTACGACGAAAGCAACAGCAAAGCGAAAAGCAAGAAAACGAAAAGCGGCGACTGCTGCTGATTTTTGATTTTGGTCGCTGTTTGATTTTTGACTTTGCTTTGACTGCGACTTCTGATTTGTTCAGAAGCAGAAGCAGAATGATTTTTTTCATTTTATAATATCGCTCGCAGTTGAAGTAGTGAAAAGCAAAAATATTGCGACTTATGCTAATTCGACTGCAGTTTTTTAAACACTGGTTGAGATTGGGACTTTTGGGTGGCCAATCTAAAGATTTTACTTCCAAGTCCCTAAAAAATGTTGTTATCATTTTTGCTTTATGACATGGAACATTATCCTGTTGCAGGATAAAGTCTTGCCTATTAAGTCTGTCGCCGGTAAGCAATTCGTGGTCAATCAGGATATGCAAATTCATCGTCCCATTGATGGGGACCAAATCACCGATCCCGTTAAAGCAGACACATCCACAAAACATGACACTGCCGCCACCATGTGGTATACGTTGAATTATAGGTTGCACTATCTTCCCAGTCGGACTTTTCGGGAGGACGCGAACAGGGGAGGATGAAATTCTTCTGCAAATGGGTGGGCTTTTTTCGAACGAAAATTCCCTTTGGGGATTTTTATTTTTAATGCGAGAGAGAGAGATAAAGGGATACATATATTTTTGCTCTTTCCTTGAAACTGTATGTATTCGCGTTCCCGACATTAGCTTTTGATTTGACTCAGTGGCCCAGTTGGTAAGCGGACGGTCTGTGATTTCTGAGACATGGGTTCAAATCCCGACCGGGAACTAAGAAAAGTAAGTTTAATTGGCTTTTAATAAGATTTATACATTCATTTAAGTAATTTAATAACCATTTAAACAATTTATAATTAACAAATAAAGAAATAAAAAAGTTTTTTATACCCTTGCAGGGTATTATAATTTCAGTCAGAAGTTTGCAACGCAGTGAAGGATACGTTTCCGACCCTATAAAGTATATATATTCTTGATCAGCATCAACAGCCGAGTCGATCTAGCCATGTCCGTCTGTCCGTCTGTCCGTCTGTCCGTCTGTCCATCTGTCCGTCTGTCTGTTTCTACGCAAACTAGTCCCTCAGTTTTAAAGCTATCTGAATGAAACTTTGCATATAGTCTTCTATATGCTCTCACTGCTATATATGTCGGAACGGGCCGGATCGGACGACTATATCATATAGCTGCCATACAAATGTTCGATATATTTGTAGAAAAAAAATTATAACTTTGCTGTTTTTCAACATTTTTGCACCATTTTTTAGATATGGCCACTCTATATTATTTAAGAATTTTGGTAAAAATTTTATGAAAATCGGACGACTATATCTTATAGCTGCCATAGGAACGATCGGGAAATTAATCGAAAAAAATATAACTTCGTTGTTTTTCAACGTATTTTCATCTACTTTAAGTTATAAGCTTTTTTTATTATTCTAGAATTTTGGTATAAATTTTATAAAAATCGGACAACTATATCATATAGCTGCCATAGAAGCGATCGGCAAATGTATAAAATATGTAAAGCTGGGAATGTAAAACTGTAACTGTCAAACTGTAAACATAATAAGTATAGGTAAAATGTAATGAAACTCTGTTTTGTGAGTGTTTTCAGCATTTAAATCTATAATATAAACATCGAAACCAATCTGCAAGGGTATAAAAACTTCGGCGTGCCGAAGTTAGCTTCCTTTCTTGTTATTATCTAAATTTTTATACTCTCTGGGGAGGAAGAAATTCTGGCATTTTGAAGAATTTCTTCCTCACCCGAGCAGCGACGGATTCTTCGTAAATCCAATTTTTTATACTCTCTTGGGAGGGGAAATTCCGTAAAAGTTCAGATTTTTATACGCTCTGGGGAGGAAGAAGTTCTTCAAAAGGCCAGAATTTCTTCCTCACCCGTGCAGCGACGGCGGGAGACAAATTACACGAATTACCCCGGCCGCCCATGTATAAAAGCGAATTAGACTTTTACAGAAAAAGGTAGGACTCCCTCCTCCCGTTTCTCGGAGAAAATAGTCCTCTTTTCCTAGGGAAAAGTCCGACTGGGTAGTTTTTCAAACGGTATAAATAACAATAAACTGTCTTTAATGCGCACGAAATGAGAACTGATTGAATGCAATGTAAAAATATTTTTGTACACCCATAAATGCATAATCTCTCGCATCACGTGACATAGCAAAGAAGTTAATTAACTTATCAGTGTCATCTTATGCTCTCTTAAACTTTTAAATAGAATCTCTTACTGGAATGTGAAATGGATCCCGTAACTTTTACGAAAACAAAGAGACACGCGCTGGAATATAGCTATAAGCAGTGTCAAAATACTTATGTCCACGATTGTATTATTAACCCTTAAATAGGCAATTTAACTTTTATTTTCCATTTTAAAAATAAAAGTTATTCGAAAACTTTTATTTTTCAAATTTGAAAATTTAACAAAATTATGGTTTTTCTGCTCTCCACGATTGTATTATTATCCCTTAAATAGGCAATTTAACTTTTATTTTCCATTTTAAAAATTAAAGTTATTCGAAAACTTTTTTTTTTCAAATTTTCAAATTTTAAAAAATTATGGTTTTTCTGCTCTCAGCAGGGATTCTAAATAAATGATAAGTAAAGTACAAATTGACAAATAACTTTTATTTTAAAATTTGAAACTGAAAATTTTGACAATTGAAAACCCCTTGATCTAGCGGGGAAAAAGCGTAATTGGCAACACTACAACCAACCCACTTTCGGTTCTGCTTCTTCTTCGGCATCGAGAAGCTACTTGTTGCGTTTGGACCGCTTTCTTCGCACGCACCTGAACTACACGTCACCAAACCAGGTTATCCCAGAACAGTGCCTGCAGCGAAGATGCGCCAACTAAAGGGAAAGGTCAAGGAGACCCGGAAACAGAAACAGGAGCGCAAGCTGGACAACTTGGAGATCCAGGCCAAAATCCGCACCGTGGTGCTCCCGGCGGTTGGTGTGTTGGCGGCCTTCCTGGTGATGTTCGTCTACCTTAAGACGCGACCTGCGGTCCTGGCTTGATCGGAAACGATTGAAGTGTTAGCCATAAGTTCTAGATTAGGAGCTATATTTGTGGAGAGTGCAATGTAATTGTCGTTAACAGTGCATCTAGCTTTAATTGTAAAATAAATAAATTGTATTTCGTCCATATTTTGTTGGTGTTGGCTAAGGTGGTTAACAGTGTTGGATAACGTCGTTTCAGTGCCGCGCTACTGCTTCCAAATATTCGAAAAACAGCTGAGCTACATTTAAATATGCATTTCAGGTTCGCCACCCCACCCCCGGGTCCGTCCACAAGCGAAAACAACCAGTTTTATTTTTGGATGTTTTATACTTTGTCTATTTCGTAGCCGTTGTGTTTGTTCCACTTTCGCTCATTCGTTTGTAGTGCGTATTAAAAGCTGGTAACTGCAAAATTTTGAGGTAGAGGTGCAAATAAGATCGAACTTCCCGTAGTTGACCAGCTTTCCGTCAGTTTACGCAGTTATCAAAACTCATCATCGATTATCTAACCCTTGCGGAAGAGCGGGAGAGAATCTCAGTGTGCCCCGTCAGCTGTTGTCAGGCCGCTCCGCGTCTCTTTGTACATTTTCAACTTTCTCTCAGTAAGAACTTTTAAGCTGGCGGGTGCGGGCGACAAAGGCACTTTCAACTACACAACAATGCTCAAGTTTCTGGTAAGTTCATGGCATCGGCTGGCTTGCTCTGCTGCGATCTCCACTCGTCCAAAGGAAGAAATTCGTTGACACATACACTCACACATACTTAAGTACATCCGCCTTCGCGATGCGTTGGACCGCTTTTTGCGGCGATGACGCTGCTGGCTGGTCTGGCAAACAATTTGTTTGCCAGGCCGTGTGACACAGGGTTCAGGGTTATATAAGGCGCCCAGCCAGCCCCAACAGCTTGGGAACAAAACAAATCAGCTGCTCATTGGGAATCACGTCGTGTCAGAGGTCAGACATTCATTGTACAAAGAGTACCCGAACACTAAGCTCGCCAAATCAATAGTTTTAGTTTAACGTTTAACTGTTAGCCAGAATGAAACTCCTCGGACTTGGGGCAAACATATTGAGACTCAGGGCTGCCGGGCAGAACCGCTCGGCCAGCACCTGCTGCCCGGAGAAATTAAAGGAGCCACTGCCGTGCTGCCCGAAGAAACGATTTTGGACATTCAAGCGCATACTTAGCTTTTCCACGGTCAGCCTAAGGCCCACAGCTTCACCGCATACCCCCGCCTTTCCCCTGAATAAACGTGGTTACTCGCTTTAATTCTTTCTTCCCTACCTTTCAGCTGACGTTTGGCGCCGGGGTCTACACGGGCATCTACGTCTCGCAGAACTATGAGGTGAGCATCATTCGCAGAAAAGTTCTGGACTTGCATCTAATTTCGTTGTCGTATCCCACAGGTCCCACGCGTAGACGACCCGCAAAAGTTGATGGAGCGAATGAACGAGAAAGTGAAGGAGCTGATGGACAAAACCAAGCAAAAGTAATTGGCATTTGGTAGTTTTTTACATGGGAAGCAGCGTCACTAAATTCAAAATAAATCTTTCGAGCCACTTTTAGAAATTACAAACTTTAAAGAGTAACAACTTAATAGGGGTTTGATTAAGCTTACAGTTAGATGGCCGCAGTATCCCCTGTTTTAAAGTGCTATCTGGGTTTTTGTCGCTACAAAGATATATGTTAATATTTTTCTAGAACAGTATGTTACATTTTGTATACTGTGTATTAGAAAGTTAATCTTTTCTTATCTTTATCAAAATTTAGACAGATCGTGACTTAAAATCGGACTCTCTGAGGAGTCTGATAATGTAACTTTCACTAAATTTTGATGCATACCCAAGCACAAATGGATTTATTTAAAGAACTATGCAGAAGACTTGGAAATCTCAATCGCAACTCTCATATAAAAGTCTTATAATTTGAAAGTATTTTTTCAGCTTAGGGATTTGGATTGGATTATCAAATTAAATTTCATTGATAATTTCAATCTCTTATTTTTCAAAATGTATAACTTTTTGCCAAGCCAAGTGACAAAAAAACAAGGCATCGGTAACCTTTAAACAAGCTCTAGCAAGCAGGGACCGTAAATAATGATTATCAATGTTTTCTTTAAACAAAAATATCATTCACTTGGAAAATTCGCACAAAGAAACGAATTATACCAATCGGCTACAATTTAGATGCTTATTCAAGATAACCAATGATTGCTAAAATCTAGATTTTTTATATATTAAACCAATTTAAATAATTAATTTTTAAGTTTTACTTCATCGCTCAAAGAATAATAATTATTATTTTGAGCGAAAAAAGTTCGATCAAAAAATAATGATCATTTTTTGAGCGATATTTTTTCGCTCAATGTGTAATATCTTTTTTCTCAGCGGGGTCTTTGAAAAAATTTTTACATGCTTCTATGGATCAAAAACGTACGATTCGATTCATTGAAGCATGTAAAAAATTTTTCGAAGACCCCTCTGGAAAAGAAGCTATTACACATTGAGCGAAATTCTGAGCGAAAAAATATCGCTCAAAAAATGATCATTATTTTTTGATCGAACTTTTTTCGCTCAAAATAATAATTATTATTCTTTGAGCGATGAAGTAAATATAAAATTATAATTACACAGGTACACAGCCAAAAATTTCCACGAACCATTTCAAGTTTTCCATGATATTTGGGTGCTCCTGAGTAAAAGTCCCATACAAAATTATTTTCCATCACCTACAGGTTTCGCGGTATACCTAAGAATACAAAAAACCTATGTTTGCCGACATTTTGAATAACGTGGCCTATATAATTGGACTTACCTTTATTATTTTTGGTAGGACCTACTCTCAATACATCACGGCACTACTAAAAAATAGTCCCAATCGTGGACCATTGTCCATGTCTTTGGAATTCGACGCCAAAGTTGAAACTCCCAAAATTTTCAACATTTCTGTTATGAAAAAACAATTCTGAGAATTAAATCTTCCATGGGACTAATTTTAAATTTTCATTGAATCTATTGCTCATTGTATTCTTTAATTTCGGTTTAACGCGTTTTCATGAGGACATTTTATTGGATTTATTAAACGAATAAAACCGATTTTTTGGTTTTATTATCTACTACTCTTTTCTGTCAAATTTCAAATAAGTCAAGGCAACCTATAAAATAGTAGTAGATATGTTTCTTATTATATATAGTATACATTTTTTCTTTTTGACTAAACTTAAATATGTAAGGATTATCGCTGGCTACTAAGCTGTCTTAAAAATGTTATGTTCGGAAGACCTTTTTATTTAATATAAAACTAAATATATACTATATATAATAAGAAACATATCTACTACTATTTTATAGGTTGCCTTGACTTATTTGAAATTTGACAGAAAGGAGTAGTAGATAATCAAACCAAAAAAGCGGTTTTATTCGTTTAATAAATCCAATAAAATGTCCTCATGAAAACGCTTTAAACCGAAATTAAAGAATACAATGAACAATAGATTCAATGAATATTTAAAATTAGTTCCATATAAGATTTAATTCTCAGAATTGTTTTTTCATCACAGAAATGTTAAAAATTTTGGGAGTTTCAACTTTGGCGTCGAATTCCAAAGACATGGGCAATGGTTCACGATTGGGACTATTTTTTAGTAGTGCTGTGATGTATTGAGAGTAGGTCCTACCAAAAATAATAAAGGTAAGTCCAATTATATAGGCCACGTAATTCAAAATGTCGGCAAACATAGGTTTTTTGTATTCTTAGGTATACCGCGGAACCTGTAGGTGATGGAAAATAATTTTGTATGGGACTTTTACTCAGGAGCACCCAAATATCATGGAAAACTTGAAATGGTTCGTGGAAATTTCACAAAGTTTAATTTTGTGTTCCTGTGTAATCATTAATCGTTGATTTTTATTTTTTCACTTATAATGATTACGTGCCCTGCTAGCAAGGCCATAGGACGATTATTGCTGGTAAAAACGATTTGAGAAATATAATCAATTCCCGGCGTAACGCTTGAAAAATTGGTATACCTTAAAGCTAGAGAGTAATTACTACCATATAGACCACATGCGCACGGCACCCGGATGGACTAGTATCGTGGACGCTGCGGAATCTCTTAAATTCGTGACAACAATCTACCATGTAATTAATAAATCCACACCTTTCACAGATCGCTCCCCGAACAACTAGCAGACGACATTAAAAAGGAGGCTAAGAAGATACTGAAGGACTGACAAGTGCAATTGTTTAAATAAATGTATCTATTATCAAATAAAATGGTGTTACACGAGTATAACTAAACGAAGGATATCCCTCCGCCGTAATATTCAAGGCGCGTCTGCGGCTGGACAAAGGCCAGCCAGTCGGAAGCGTGCGTGGGCAGCAGGCCCATGCTGTGACACTTGTAGAGGGCCAGCGCCACGTTAGCCATGTTGCCAAGGAAGTAGACTATGCGCTGGCCCGTGCCCTGGGCGCCCTCGGCCATCTTCGATGTCACCTGTGTGGTGAACATGGCCTTGATAGGGCGAATCAACATCATGCCCACCATCATGATGGGAAAAATTGAAATTGAGTTGCCGGACATGTACATAATGAACAGGTTCATGGGTATCTGCGAGGAATCCAAAGGTTAGGTCTTAATGCTGGTTGCCCAGGTCAAACGCTGTACTCACGTTCTTTAGCGGCCCAAGGGCGAGATCCCACGACTTCTTGATAACCAGGCGCTGGTCACGCACCACCTCGCTCTGGTTAACTAGAGCAGAGGGATTGTATCCCAGCGGCGACGGCATGTCAGCGTTTTTGCTGTACCAAAAATAAAAGTATGTATGAGAGGGTGTCGGTTCTGTCCGATTGCACGCTACGCGGTTACCTGATGTTGAAGTCCAGAGCCCACTTGTACTTCTTCGAATTTAGCTTTGCCGACATTCTGGAATGTTATTTTTATTTAATATAAATGGATACTTTATTAAATAAAATTTTTCACGAAATTTTATTAATTGGTCGTGGCTCAGTGTTGTGAAACGTCCAACAATGTAGAGATGTCAAACTACCGGTGGTACTATCGATAGTACCGATGGTTTGGATTCAGCTTCCACTATCGGTAGTTTGAAAACAATCGCGGTAGTATCGCCTCTATATAATTTTTTTTTTTTTTTGTTCCAGCGACGTCAACCGAGTCGGAAAGAATGTTTTCGAAGGCAGGAGAAATAATTTCCGATCGTAGATCCAATTTGAAACCAAAAATAGTTGATAAACTGTTGTTTAAAAACAAAAATTGGTGGATATATGACTGTTAAACGTTAACTCTGATCTCATACAATGTTTTTGAATAGTGGCAGGACCGCTTTAATATTATTTCAATTTTAAGATATAAAATATGAATCTTTTGTTATTTTTTTATTTTTGTTATTATTAAGCTTGAAACCAAACAATGAAATACGGGAAGAAAAATATATATATCACAAGAAATTAAAACTGTCCGACTATTTTTATATATTTTAAGACTTTTACTATATTATATCTTTACTCTTAAAAATCTCTTTCAAATTAATAAGGTATACCCTCAACTTTTTTGAATTTTTTATTAGTGGAATATCCCCTTTTTTAAGAAATTTTTTAATGTCGGTACTATCGCGATAGTATCGATAGTTTGCAAAAAAAAAACTCGAAACTACCGATGGTGCGAATACCGGTAGTTTGACATCTCTACAACAATGTCGTTTTGTCAGTGTTACACAATTTCGATAGGCGAACGTCAGTAACTGGCAAATCTATCGATATCATCGATTTAACCGTGGCGGATTTTTCGAAACTGCTTTGGAAAAAACGCCAGTCAGACAGGTTTCAATTAGTATTTAATTTTTATTTTGAATTACCTCTCAAATAGTACTGTCCTTTTTTATATAGTTTTATATATATGCATAAATTTCTTTTTATTTTGCTTGGCCAAGCGACGTCACGAAACGAAAGTGTTAAAAATTAAAAGGGTTTGTTGTATTTTTAAAGAGCAATTACAATTACAGTTTCGTTTTTCTCATTAATATTACTTTTATATTTATAAAATTAAAAAGAAAGATATATTGATGAGGGGCGGGGGCTTTTAAAGGAGGGAGGAGAAAAATAACTTAAAAAGACATTGTTTTATACCATATACTTTAGTTTTCTTTTTGCTTGTGATTGGTTGGGGGATTCTCTTTTACTCGTTTTGCATTTAAACATCCAATAATTATGTATGAATTTAAATTAAATTATATAGCGTTCTTTATATGTTGTTTGCAAAAGTTTTGCTTTTGCACGGTACACAATAAACAGTTCAGTATCTTGTTTGGAAATACGGACAGGAGGCGTCCTTTTAAGTTATGCGAAGATGCTGCTGCTCTTGTTGTTGGTGTTGGTGTTTTTGCTGCTGTTGTTGTAATTGTAGTAATTACTTATGATGCCGTCTTTTTGATGTTCCTCAGCCACGGTTTCGGATTGGTTTACTGTTGGTGTTTGCTGGTTTTTGCCACTTCCGGCTTCCTTGAAATCATATTGTATTCAAATTGTTGTGGTTTCTATTGTATTTGTAGTGTAATTAATTAGCGATTGGCATTCTTTAGCTGATTGGACAACCAGTCGAGCCCCTCGTAGAGCCCATCGCCGCTAGTTGCACACGTCGCCTGAATGTACCAGTTGCGGTTTCTGAGTGAGTGCAAGCCAAGCTTATCGGTGATTTCGGCCGCGTTCATTGCTTGTGGCAGATCCTACAGGAAACATTGGAGAGGGGAGAAGGTTTTTTGTTTTTAGAATTGGTAAATTATCCTTGGTAACAATTAACGGTAAAACAATGAAATTAAAGCAATAGCGGAGAAAGGCAGTTGTCTTATCAACAGTGCAATATATTTTCAACGCATCAGTTAATCGGCATGTGCTTTAGTAGTGCCTACCTGTTTGTTTGCGAAGATTAGTAAGACTGCATCCCTCAGCTCATCCTCCGCCAGCATACGCATCAACTCCTCTCTCGCCTCTCCAATACGTTCTCGGTCATTGCTGTCAACGACGAAGATAAGACCCTGCAAAAAACCATTAGATAATCGTTACTCAAGCTGTCCAATAGTCGCTTAACGAAAGTTTGCTTTATGATCTCAATTCAGTCCCGTCTTGAAACAAAATAAACTTTGAATAATCACAATGTTACTCATTACAAGTTGTTAACATCATTATGAATTGCCTGGGATCTTTCTGCCAGCTGTTGTGGCCACTTACTTGTGTATTCTGGAAGTAGTGCCTCCACAGGGGACGAATTTTGTCTTGGCCGCCAACATCCCACACTGTAAAGCTAATATTCTTGTATTCTACAGTCTCCACATTGAAACCTGCGGGGAAAAAACACAAAGAGATATGAGACTCTGCTTCAAGATAGGGAGAAACGCTGCACCACAATCATATTCACATCCACTCACCAATGGTAGGTATCGTTGTAACAATTTCGCCTAATTTGAGTTTGTACAGAATTGTGGTTTTACCAGCGGCATCCAAACCGACCATCAATATTCTCATTTCCTTTTTGCCGAAGAGGCCTTTAAATAAGTTAGCAAATACATTTCCCATAGCGGCTGCTGTTGTCTTTCGGATGCTCAGGAGGAGATGGAAGTCGGAAATCGGATTTGCCTGCTTTGCTGCTAGACTGGCTGGCTGGAATTATTTTTAACAAGTTCAAATCCGAGTTACTGCAGTGCCGATTGAACGATGCGCACTCTGGATTTATGTGCTTGGACCAGGAGAATCTGAAAGAAATTTAACAAAGCCGATGGGTTACAGTCGCGAATTTTATTGTAGCATATGGATCAGGCCCAGTTCTACGTAAACCAGGCAAATGACAACAATATCAAAGGTGTTTATTGGTCTGATTGTTGTTTGGGACTGCGTGGATCTAACATCGGCTTTGCTTGCCTTCGGCGATCGCCGATGTTTACACCAACACTGACTTGTTGGTAGTCATCACGGCTGACTCACAGTGAAAACCAGAAAACATATGATAAATCAAAAGAGGCTAACGAAATATCGTTTTGTTTAGTGCAATAGTACACCATTTTGGAAAGAGCTCAAAAGCTATACTAAAACAGTGGTAGTCCCAAAAGTTGTTTATGTAATTAATTGCTAACTTATTAACCGTAATGCGGGGAGGATGTGTGCGAGACATTCTGCTCAGTACTCAGCTTGCCTCAGGCTGATAAGATATCGATTTATAGTATATACCGGTGACGGCGATTTGCGTCCACCACTCCCCCGCGGTTCCATTCAAAAAACGTGCGGACCGGGAAGCGCTTAGTCGAGCTATATATGTAGGCATTATACAGGTGTAGGAACCTACTGCTGTTAGTGGGGCGGGGCGAGTGAATTCCAAACTCTGCAGTGAGTCAGCGCTCAAATTTGCCAGTAGGTTCGAATTTTCAGGCTGCCTGCTTTTAGATTTAATCGGAAAAGAAAGAGGATGCCCCCGCCCCACACCCGCTATAACTACGCCGCCGCTAGCAAAAGGCAAAGCAAAGGTAAAGCGTTGCCAACGAAACATAATGCGCAAATGAAGAGACAACAGTAAACGCATCGCCAATTTCAAAATCCTGCATCTTGGAGGACGCAGCCGAAGCTTTTGGCTGCACTGGAACGGCGATAGTTTGGCTGGCAGCAGCCGAAAACTACACGTAGCTACTTTTATTTGCCAAGCTGCTGCGAGGGAAGCGGAGCAATCACACTAACACACCAACACCCTCCACGCACACACCCACCGTCACAGCCGTCTAGAGTTGCCTACTACATCAAGAAGAGGAGCCAAGGGGCCACTTAGATAGCCTGTATGTCGCAATTATTAGGCTCACAGCTCAAAACTGATGCCGGGCTGTGGCTACCCATCGTGGCAAAAGTTTTTGGCCCATATATTGCGCGTTTTAACTGACCCCCGATTCCGATCGGACAACTGCTATACGTGGTTTGCCTGTGTCTGTGTGAGTGACGTATGCTTTTTTTTCTCCCTTCCAGGTTGGTGAAATGCAAGGGCGGCTGGGCCCTGTTTTGTCGACATCAAGAAGAGCTTGATAAATATTAATCGAGAACCTACGAACTGGGGTACGGTACGATTTGTTCGACAACACTTTACTCTGTTCACTGACTAATTAAGCCTCTTTTATAAATTTTTCTTTGATTAAATTTTCTCTGCTACCAAACACACCACACACCGAATGAAGAGAAAGATAATGAAGAAAAATCTATCGATAGCAGGTTCGTGCGATACCCGATAAACACTCCCTCTTCGGAATCCCATGTTTTTTAAATGTTATTGAATTATATAAGGCAAACTATGCAATGGTTTCGCCGAAATGGCTCTGATAACAAAAACAGAGGATAATTCATGATCTTATCTGATCTTAAGAGGGGAAAAACCATACGATGACGATACATTTCGGAAATTTTCTAACACTGCAATTGACACTACTCCCCACAGTCGCCGTCGCCAGTGTGCGGTCTTTGTCGCGCACCAATACAAGCACGTAAACTTGATCCACATTGCTGCGGAACAAGCTCTTAAAACGGGGAATAAGCATGCTCATTGATTTTAGCCCTTGATTTCTCCCGAAGACACATACGCACCAAGTACTTGAACCAAATGCACACGGTTTTGAGCGGAAATTTTTAAAATTTCAGCTTGGAAATGTCGAAAATCACAGAGCAAAATAAAACTTGACCGAGAATACTATGCCGTTAAGAAAACTGCAAACTCACCACCATAAATAGAGATGAGCGCAGGCACAGCTAGACCGGCCCATGGGTTAGAGAGAGATGGCCATAGTTTGCGGTGGTCTGGTGAATAAGATGTGAAATGCTGCCACGTCTCGTTCCACATCAAGAAGAACAAGAGCTGGCCAGACATGATAGTGGCATCATCGATAAAATTTGTGTTGTCGATAGTATCGATAGTGCTCCAATCTGGTACTTTTGGTCGCTTAACGGAAAGTCTGATAGTACTAGAGCGTTAACCGTATCCGAATATTAAGAACGAGTGGGTTTTAAACATTAATTAGCATTTTTTCGGAACTTATTGTATTTTTTGTTTAGAAGCGCTCTGAGTTGCTTCTTCCGCCACAATGGACTCACGACTGGGAACTGGCTTTGGCACCTTTGATGGAACCGTAAGGTGGGCATTCTCGTTACTTGTACTGTAATTTTAATTGTTTTAAACATTTTATTATGGCATCTATTAGTTTTAAGGACCACAATTTGTCTAGTTTCAAGGATTTTAAAATCTTAGTAAAGAACTTGTCTAAAAAGTCATTTAAGTTAACTTGAATTGCTATTATTTTTTAAATTAAAATATAAATGTTTTTGAAAACTGACCAAACAAATATTAAATATTAATATATTATATATTAAAAAATTAACAAAAATTTAATTTAAAATCCAGGTGGGGATCGCTGATAAGTTGTAGAAAAGGTACTAGAGCTGGCAAAAAATCTATATTTTCATCTATCGATTTGTCGATGTTTTTACGGACGAAACATCGATAGTATCGATTTTCTTAAATATATGTATTAAATCATTTTAATAGTTTATTTATTTTTTCTCGAATTTATACAAAAACCATTATTACTTTTCACTTTAATTTAAAAACTTTTACTTACTTTAATCCAGCCAAAAAAAACATCGATACTAAAAAAATTGATGTTCTGAAAAAAAAATTCAAACATCGATAAAATAGATAGTGCTCCGATGTTTTGCCAGCACCATGCGTTATCCGAAATCTCCGTTTGTGGGCAATCCTGGGCTGGAAGGAGAGATCCTGAAAGTAAATGTAAGCCCTACCAAGTGCACGCCAAAATATTGGCTCAACGCTGCTGTGCCCTTAACTGTGACTGTTTTTGTCTAGACTGCCGGTCTTGCCCCACTCCTTGAATGGCTGTGCCTGACGCCCCGGGTCACCACGTACAGGGTAAACACGCGTCGCACCTGCGTCGAAGAATGCAAACGGACGGTTGTGGACAAACTGGCAGCTATATACGGCCAAAAGGCTCCAAAGGTATACGCCCTAAGCAGGCTGACGGATGTGCTATGCATAGACCCATTGGATGACGAAAATATCCGTCCTGATCCAGGCCTTAGGGAGGTGATTGTGGACACCACCTGCGGAGCTGCTCTTCTCCGTGGAGCCCATATATACGCCCCCGGCGTCCTCGCGATGGAGTCGAACACGCAGGTCAATGAAATGGTGAACGTCTTCGCAGATTTGTCTGGAAAATGCAAGCGTGGGTCAACCGCGCGCTATGACAGCTCCCAAAAGATCTTTGTGGGGCAGGGCAGGACTCTTATGCAGCGATACCAGCTTTTCAACAACAGTGACAAGCCCGCAACCGGCGTCGCCGTTGAGATGCAGTCAAACGTCAGTGGAGTACCTGTACTAGGAGATCTGAGCAACTCCGATATTCTGCTGCAGAACCTGCCCTCCATTGTATGCGTCCATGTATTGGCTCCGCAACCCGGGGAACGCGTGTTGGATATGTGCGCGGCTCCCGGCAACAAAACATCCCACATAGCCGAGATAATGAACGACGTCGGCTCTGTTGTAGCCTTAGACAGCTCAGCGAGCCGTGTGCGCAACATGAGACCCAGGTTATGCAGCTACCAAAGCATTACGACGCACGTGTTCGATTCAACAAAGGCAGCAGCCGCAGATCTCTTACCGACACCCAGTACGCTCTCCGATCCACCATTTCCTAGAGCCAGCTTCGATCGCATCTTGTTGGACGCCCCTTGCAGTGGCTTGGGCAATCGGCCCCAGCTGTCTAGCAACATCAAGAGGCCCAAGATACTGCAGTCCTATCCCCATGTCCAGCGGCGTTTGTTCGCGCAGGCGGTTGAGCTCCTGCGTCCAGACGGTATTCTCGTATACAGCACATGCACCGTCACGGAGGCAGAGTGCGAGTGCATAGTGGCCTGGGCGTTGAAGAAGTTCCCCGAGCTAAGATTGGTGGATGCCACACCACGCTGGGGAGGTTCTGGACTCTCACTTCCCGATTTGGACGTATCCAAGTCACGGTTGCTGCAACGCTTCGGACCCGGAACCTTCGACGGAGATGGTTTCGAAACCGTTGGCTTTTTCATTGCCAAGTTTCAGAAAGTTGCATGAGTTGATTACTTAATTCATTTTATTCGATTTATTATAGTTTCCTACTTAAGCAGCTCCTGCGATGGGGCTTCTTGAGTTTGATTTGTAATAAATGTCGATGCTTCTTGTAAGATCTAGGCGTATATATGTATATATGCATGTATGTACTGTTTTTGAAAGATCGGTCTGATTCGAGGAAATGCTCAAAAGGGCAAAATACATATCTACGACGCTTAGAGCTGAGTGTCAGCTCATGGAGCAAGCGCACATGTTTTTTCCGATGCCCTCGTGAAGGCTAAAAGGAGGAAACGGTCAGCTGTTATAAGCACGCTCTTTACAAAATCCATTTTATCCACAATTTGCAATTATGAATGAGGGAAATTGTGATTTGCAAATTGTCAAATACGATTAAGAGGAATAAACATACAAATATTTTGATAGCTTCCTAAATTAAAGGTACTTAAATAGTTTACAATTCATGTCTATTTGAAACTTTAGATACATCCATTTATCTTTCCTTAATGATTAATTTGAAAATGCAAGTGCGCACAGTTCTTAAAACATTGAACTATTTGACGTATTTACTTTTATTTATTATATTTCCTTATAATTAGTGTGAAATGTGTTGCTATTGTATTTGTTCATGCGAATATGCAGCCGATTTGAAAGCAGGAAAACCGTGCATATGCTTTCCCCATGATTGACGTGCGTTTATGGTTTTATTAACTTCCATCCTTTATTTAGCCCGACAAATACTCGTTTGGCTAGAAGGGCCGCACTCTAATCTCCAATATACTCAACTTCCAGAACGATCCGGATTGCGGTCTAGAGTATGTGACTTAGGCTAAGCTAAACTGAAGGTGGGACTATTGACCCAACAGCAGCAAAGTGTCTTCAATATCATCCACTTAAATAATCGCCTAAATGGTATTTATATATTAACATATCTTTACGTCGGGATGTTGAGCGTCTTGAACTGTTCCTCGTGCATCTCAGTCATCATAAAAGTTCCGTCCTGAAGCAGCAAAACGACGCGTCGGGTGCCCCCTGCAATGGTATTGAAATTAATTGTTATAAACGCACTGTTTTTAGGCATTTTATAATATGAACTAACCGGGAGAAGGAAGGTCCGCCTGGACTACTTCGGCCGGTATCTGGGCTTCCGTGCCATCGCTGTCGGAGGTTGTTATATGAATTTGGGCCGTAGCCGGGGTTCCTGTGCCGGTTGCAGATGCCTCTGCATGCTGGAGCGCTGCGGCCTGGTGCTGCGCCAGCTCCTCCTCTGTCATAGACACAAGAATCTGCTCGTCTGCTGCAGCTCCTGCCGCACCGTGCGCTTCAACCTGTTCGCCGGACTGCACGGCCTCGGCCACCGCATGATCTAAAGAGAGAACGTCTTGGTCATCGCCCTCAGCGGCCGCGACATAAGCAAACTGTTGCTCGCCATCCGGACCTTGGGTCACCAGTATGGTCTGGCCCTCGGCATTTTTGCCGGCCACTTGGTATACGGTACCATCCTCGCCCCGCACCAACAAAGCCGATCCATCTTCATTAGTAAGAACTGATTGGTCTCCCAATAGCGCCTGAGCCGCGGCCTCTAACTGCTCACGTTGTTGCTCTTGCTGCTGTTCTTGCTCCATTTGTAGCTGCGTCTCTTCTTGGCCAATTAGCTTTCCGGTAATCGGGCACAGTTGAGCCTGGTGCTGATGCACTTCCTCCTCTATCTCCATCTGAGGTGGTGTCGGCTGGATGTTCGCTTTGGGAGCTATTCTCTGACGACCTGCGGGGGCTTTCTGTATTTGCACCTGCTGCTGCTGGGCCTGCACTTGCCGCTGCTGTCGGGCCTGGGAAGCACGCTGCGCTATCATCTCCTCCCGAGTGACCACCTTTCGGGTGACTTTCAGATCACCTGACTTGGAAAGCTGAAGGATCTTTTGTTCGGGAGTCACTGCTTTGCCACCCTGCTGAGTTGCAGTCGGTTGTCGTTGCTGAGGCGTTCCAGCGCGCGCTAGAATCCGGCCACCAGGATGAGCACGGGCCGGTGTCAGCTGTTGGTTTTGCCGCACCTGTGCGGTGCCGCCCACGACAGTCCGGCGCTGGATAGCTGTTCCCGTGGGACCCTGGCCAGGGGTTCGCAGCACCTGCTGACGCTGAGCCACTGTAATGGGAGAATTTGTTGCACGAGCAACGGGTAGGCGCTTGGAAATACCACCGCTCACAGGCAGGGAGCTAATCTTTTGAGGCAACGTTGGTGCTGCAGGCGAGGTAGGAGCGAGCGGCGGCTCCGCATTATCCACCCTAAAAACTCCTCTCGTGTTGCTGGCCATCTCAGAGCGCGAAAGATAACGTACCGGACACTCGGCTTTTTCTTTTTTCTGCAACGGGGGAAGAGGATCGTTAGTAAGTTGCTGCCGCTCAGGAACATCATTGGCACTATTTACCAGTTGCAGGGTATTTGGCATCTCGGGCTTCCGAAACATTCCAGAGCTGGTGCTGTCCTCTGTGTAGATAATCTCACCCATCTTTTGCTCAGTGACGGACGTGTTGACGACGGTTGAGTTGCCATTGATTTTAGTTTGCTGCTTTTCCGTGGGCTGAACTCTTGGCTTGTTCAACTGCACGGAGCTTCCTCCGTTTTTTAAACGCTTCACGGTGTGCGAGGGCAAATCCTCCTCGAGGTCCTCAAGCTCCATCGAGTCGTTCAGCCCACTTCCCTCCAAGCTGGAGTCTGTGTGGTCTAGTTTACGCTTTCCTCCGCTGGGCCCAGTTGCCGGTGGCCATTCCTGTTCAGTTGCAGATTCATCATCGTTAGCCGACGATGGAGAAGTGGAACCATCCCCACCACCAGTTTCACTGACCCACTGCTTGAACGAGTCCATGGCTTTTGTTTTAGAAGTGCGCGAGGGACGTGAAGTTGGCGATATCTGGGTTGGAGCTGGGGCTGGGCTCAGCGGCGCAGGAGCATCCGGTTTTGAGGATGTACCAGGCGTTTGCAAGCGTTTCAAAGCATCCAGACCTTTCTCTCTGGTAAGTTTCTGGCGCGCCAATTGCTTTTCGAACATCTGCAGAAAGTAAGGAACTCGCTCAAGATTGGCCATAACCTCCCAAGTGTTTTCATGATGCGAGCGATCCACCCACTTCACCAAATACTCGTGGGTCTTCCGACGGGGATTAAACCGCTTAGCAACTATCTTCTCCACAGGCTCTTCAGTGCGCTGCTCAGTCTTGGAATCAATTCGAATGGCTATCCGGTTATTAGGCTTGACTGCGCCGCCGGAAGACGCTGATGAAAGCGTAGGTGTTGGTGTTCCCGGCTTCGACTTAGGTCGTTCGTTTTCCGTGTCCTTCAGCTGATTAGCCAACGTGGGCAGCTTACCGGACGGGGACTCTGGAATTATACATAAGTGCAATGTTTAATTAAACTTTAATCAAGTATTTTGATTCCATTGTGGTATTTTATTACTTTTGACGGGGGAGACGCTCGTGTTTTTGTTGCTATTGGATGTGTTGTTGTTGTTGGGATTGACGACAGTCTTGGTAATGCGCACTGGCATATCCTGGAGCTGTCCGTGAGCAATTTTGCCAAAGGACTGAATTGTCTTTCCGGCCACGATCCAAGGCTCCCGAACGCTCTCCTCCAGCTTCACCCAGTGCTGATACAGGGCCCAGGAGTTTCCTGAATTGACATCCTTCCGTAAGTGTTGTTGCGTGGCCTTCCATAGTGTGAATGCCCAGATAGTCGGCTTAGTATCTATTGACTCCTTCATGTTGGCGTTCTCCTTTTCGCAAGCGTCCTCCTTGTGCGCCTGAAACTCCTCAACAAAGTTGTAGGCTCTCAGACAGCGTCCACACACAAGCACGTCCATGTTGGCCAGGTCTTCCTGTGCAGCTGAAGGGCAACAAAATGTACACTATGTTTACTCCTATATTTTTCGCCACTCTCACCTCTGATGATGTTTGCGTGTTTGCCAATCTCCGTCGGTGCAATTTCCTGTGCCAACATTATATACGACACCAGCGCCTAATCCTCTGTGGATGTAATTAAGATATTTAAACGAGCGTTTCTGTTTTGGCTGTCTGTCCCCTTGCTTTCCATTTCAAAATAGTCTACAGGCCCAGAAAAAAGTACAGTGCCGTGGTGTGTTTGGTTTGCAACGACTTGAACCTAGTGGCAGCACGGAAGTCTGCGGTGTGTGCCCAGTGTGGTGAATTCCCCGCACATCTGCAACGGGCAGAATGCAGCGGCAAATTAATAGCAATCGAAAATACAACACAAATAATGCAATTAAAAACAAAAGGGAACAATTACAACGAGTCTTAAGACTGCGAGCAGATCATTGGCCAAACATTTATCGAACTGAAATAATTTTAAATTATTTATTTAAAAATTTATGACCATACAACCGTATGCAACATTTTACTAACACAAATTTAACTTGAGAGTTGGTGTCTCGACGCGGGTAAACGTTTTAAACCGAATAATATGTATATTACTATAATAATATATTACTATTTCTGACAATTGGTTGCCCGCTAAAACCTATACAAGTATTGCCACCACAAATGACACTACTTCGCTCTCGATTTCACACTGCACAAATTGTTAATTGAACTGCATTGAACGCACCTTCATAAACGAGTTTTCTAACAAATGAATATTGTTTTCAAGTATTGTTTTATTTTAACTGTTTTTTCGATTCTTCAACACGCGCAGTGGTGCCGCTATTGCTAACAATTGTACGCGCGAACTCTGAATGCCAAAAGCGAATTCGGACAGAACAAAAATCGGGCCAGTGATGATTTGGTTCCGGCTAGCCCGACATTTGTGTGCGCTTTCTGCCATATGCCGAATATGTATAACACTCATTAGGGCCCATCGACTGGAAAATATTTTTCACAGCTTTTTGGCTTGCTAGCTTCACATATAGCCTGTGTTTGACCACTTTTCACATAATAAAACAATTTTGTGTGTGATTAATAATCACTGATTATATAACTTAAATGCCCGGACGGGGTGTGTAGCGCCACATTTCGTTCGCCCGCGTGGCGGTGCACTTTGTAAGCCAATGAAACACCGTGGTGAAAATGCGCACCGATGTGGTAACTTTGCGCGCCCTACAGCCTAACAAAATATTAAAAACAAAACTATTTGGGATATATGTATTAGTACTGTAAAACTATAGGCATACAATATAAGTAAACATAGGCATACAATATAAGTTTAACAACAATTTTTTTCGAATATGGGCATTTTAATAGTCTGGCAACCTTGTCAAAAACACCAGTTCTGCCTTGGTGTCAGTGTTGCCAGTTTAGCTTATTGTAAGCTAGTTCTAGCATATTTGAAACTGTATGCTTTGACTGTATTTGTTTTGGAAAAATATGCTTCATGGCATGAAAATATCAGAGCTTGTTCTTTTTTTATTTCATATGATCGTGAATTTCTACTCTATGGTGCCATAGAAGACCTAATCAATCAATTTGGAGTGGGAAATGTTGCCATAAGTACACCCTGCCAGAAATATACATCTTGCTTATAAATAAAAATATTTAAATGATGATCAAGATGACGAAATCGGTGAATTAATACAACTAATTTATTTGAATTGCATGGACATATTTATGAGTAAAGCTTTAATAATAACATATTTAATAAGATTACTGTTCACCATACCATATTATAAATGCATCAACAATCACCTTTGAATTGATGTTTTTTTCTTTCGGAAACTGTCCTAATGAAAATTTGAAGACCTAATCATAAATATTGTTTTTTGCATTCCACATAAACATAAGGTTTAATGTTTTCTCTCATTTCGGTGTAGCATTTTAAGCATTTTTTTTTTTTTAATTTTAGCTTTTTTTAGCCGATTTTTTTTCTCAAAAATCTGGCTTATACGGGCGCTCATCACCTGGCAACACTTGCCAGTGCCAACACTGGGTGTGTACACACTTTTTGATTTACCGGCGAATTGTGCATTTTGTAGCAATTTGTTTGGCTTAAAACAGAAATAAAATAATCATTTAAAGCATCAGAAGCGCAGAATGGCCGAAGACGAGCACGAAGATCAGAAGGAGTACCGCTGGGAAACAGGCTACGAGAAGACATGGTGAGCGTAGGCTACTTGTGGTGCGACGTCTAAACGCAAATTTGGAATCTTTAGGGAAGCCATCAAGGACGATGAGGACGGCCTGCTGGATGGAGCCATCGCAGAAATCATCCAGAAGGCCAAGCGCCAGCGGCTGGCGCAGAAGGCGAAGCAAAACCGCCTGGGCATGATGCGCCACCTGTTCATAGTGCTAGACTGCTCCGAGTCCATGAGTGTGCCGGACTTAAAGCCCACGCGATTGCGCTGCACCGTCAAGCTACTGGAGGTGTTTATCGAAGAGTTCTTCGATCAGAATCCTATCAGTCAGCTCGGCATTATCGCGCTCAAGGCGAAGCGGGCCGAAAAGGTTACGGACCTCACCGGGACGTCGCGTGTGCACCTCAAGGCGTTGGAGAGGTTGGTGGACGGAGATGGCCATTTATAAAAGATATATTAAGATTAGCTTTATTTCAGCTTGGCGAACGTCTCCCTGACCAGCGAACCATCATTGCAGAATGGCTTGGATCTGGCGTTAAAAACGCTGAAGGTCGTTCCTCCACACGCGTCGCGAGAGATCGTCGTCATCATTGGCTCCCTGACTACCTGCGATCCCGTGGATATCAATCTCACCATCGATGAACTAAAAAAGGAGGGCATACGCTGCTCGGTCATCTCGTTGTCGGCGGAGATCCGCGTGGCCCGCTACCTTACACAGCAGACGATGGGCACGTTCGGTGCTGTACTGGATGATGCCCACTTCAGGGATCAGCTAATGTCTCAGGTGGATCCCCCACCCGCAGCAAAAACGCAGCACAATTCGCTCATAAGAATGGGCTTCCCGCACACCAAAAGCGAAGTCGAGGGCAAGGACGCGCCACTGTCCATGTGCATGTGCCACATTGAGAACCTGGAAGAGCCCAGCGAGCTTAGCACCACTGGTCACCACTGTCCGCAGTGCAACAGCAAGTACTGCGAACTGCCCGTGGAGTGTCAGTCCTGTGGTCTGACTCTAGTCTCAGCCCCGCACCTCGCCCGATCCTACCACCATTTGTTTCCAGTGCCCAACTTTGAGGAGCTGCCATTTGAGTCGATGCCGGCGTCGGCAGGTTCATCCGATCAAGACCGCGACGGGGGAATCAGAGACTGCTATGCTTGTGCCAAGGCCCTCGGACCTGTCGCCGATAAAAGCGTCTTCAAGTGCAGTTTTTGCAAGCAGTTCTTCTGCACCGACTGCGACATCTTTATCCATGAGACCCTGCACGCCTGCGTCGGCTGCAATACAATTCCGGGTGTGGACGGCCTGGTCTACCAGCAGACCACCAAACCCGGAGAGGACGATGCGCATCCGGGTAGCTCCAAGCAGCGCGTCCAGTTTGGCATTTAACTGCATTGTGCATTGTACACTGACTAGCTGTAGATAGATATTAAAAACGCCAAATTACGCTTAGAAACCGAATCAGTTCAATTCATTCCGGTGCTTGTGAGTTGTATCAATTTAGATACGGTGCTGGGCTTAATAATTGCGAAGGTGAGCGGAGTATTGTTACAATAGTTGTTCTGACTGCTGTCTGATTGTCTTGCCCGCTTACGAACTGCGCATTCGTTTATTGGGTTCTCGGTGCCTCGCCATGCCTATCGATGCCAGCTTGGTGGACTTATGTAGAAAGCCCACTTGAGTTCATAGTTAGCGCTTGCCGCATTCGGTCGGTGTTTTTTGTAGTTCCGACTCGATCCCAAAGATCTCGAGTTCTCTTTTCCACGTCGGCGGACTGGGTGTGCAAAATTCAAAGAGCGAGCCATCAGCGAGAGATCACATCACTTCGTTTTGGAGCAAGCAAGAGTAGGTACTCCATAAAGACTACGGGTCGAAATAATGCTGCTTTAAACTAGTATCAAACTAGTTTGAGCCCAGCTAAACTGCCACTGATATTAATGAGTTTATGGGATGTTAACAATTTAATTGCGGAGTTTTTAAGCCCAAAAAAACACGGCATTCATTGGTATTAAACATACAAATGTATGTATATTTGATCCCCTTTCAATTTGTGATGACAAGAATAATCATTTAATTTGAAATTTAAATATGCAAATATCCTGGTAAATTAACTTTTGTTACCTTTGCAAAGAAATGGGAAGAAACTTTAACAATATATCGTTTATATTTGAGTGTTGGCCAATAATCTAATAGGATGAAGCCAGAGTAGGAGTATTTACCAATTTTTATACCCTTGCAGGGTATTATAATTTCAGTCAGAAGTTTGCAACGCAGTGAAGGAGACGTTTCCGACCCTATAAAGTATATATATTCTTGATCAGCATCAACAGCCGAGTCGATCTAGCCATGTCCGTCTGTCCGTCTGTCCGTCTGTCTGTCTGTCCGTCTGTCTGTCTCTACGCAAACTAGTCCCTCAGTTTTAAAGGTATCTGAATGAAACTTTGCATATAGTCTTCTATATTCTCTCACTGCTATATATGTCGGAACGGGCCGGATCGGACGACTATATCATATAGCTGCCATACAAATGTTCGATATATTTGTAGAAAAAAAATTATAACTTTGCTGTTTTTCAACATTTTTGCACCATTTTTCAGATATTTTATATTATTTCAGAATTTTGGTAAAAATTTTATGAAAATCGGACGACTATATGATATAGCTGCCATAGGAACGGTCGAGAAATAAATAGGAAAGAAAATTATAGTTTCGTTGTTTTTCAACGTATGTTTATCTACTCTGAGATATAAGCTTTTTTTATTATTCTAGAATTATGGTATAAATTTCATAAAAATCGGACAACTATATCATATAGCTGCCATATAAACCGATCGGTAGATGTAGAGAAAATGTAAAACTGGGAATGTAAAACTGTAACTGTCAAACTGTAAACATAATAAGTATAGGTAAAATGTAATGAAACTCTGTTTTGTGAGTGTTTTCAGCATTTAAATCTATAATATAAACCTCAAAACCAATCTGCAAGGGTATACAAACTTCGGCGTGCCGAAGTTAGCTTCCTTTCTTGTTAATTATAAAAAATAAATAAATAACCCCTCACCAAAACAGGAGTCTTGTAATGACCAATGTATCTCTGAATTAGGCCTTGAGAAATATATCTCTATAGGATCGGACGACTATTTCATATTGCTGCAAATAATCGACAAATTTTTAGAAAAAAAATTAAACCTTAGTTGTTCTTCAACATATTGTAATCATTTTTGAGATATGGCCATTTCTTAATATTTCAGAATTTCGGTTTAAATTTTATGAAAATCGGACTAATATATCATATAGGAAGGATCGGTAGATGTAGAGAAAATATAAGGCTGAGAGTGTAAAACTGTAACTATCAAACTGTAAATATAATAAGTGTAGGAAAAATGTAATGAATCTCTGTTTTGTGTGTGTTTTCAGCATTTAAATTTATAATGTTTATTATATTAGATATTTAAATCTAAAATATAGTTAAATTTCCTTTTTTATTTTATTTTATCAAACCCAAATTATTGTATGCTATATATAAATATACAACTTTTATATATTTCCTTTTATTTCTCTCTATTAATTTGACCAGAATGGATCGATTCTTATTGATCCAATTGCAAACTGCAAGGGTATACAAACTTCGGCGTGCTGAAATTAGCTTCATTTCTTGTTCTTAATGAATTTAAACATCTTTAATTAAGTTCTAGAAAACATAGTAGTTCAAGGCTTGAATTTTGATTTGAATCATTGTTATTGAAATTGATTTACCTGAATAAAAAAATGGGGGCGTTTTTTCTAATTTCTTCTATGTAGATATAACCCTCTAATTGAAAGTTTTCTTAAGGAACCCAAATTCTGCCCTCTTCCAGGTGCATAAAAAATTATCATTCACTGACGTCGGTGAGAACGCAAATCACAGCAAACGACCGTCAGACAGTTTAAATTATCTCGTTAATTACTGACTAGCCCAGCAGCTTGTACAAGTGTGAGCTTACATTCATTTTAGACTACTTAATGTATGCATTTGTGCAATATAAAGACGTTTCCGCATCGCGCCCCGTGTGCACAAAAAGCTAAAAAATCGAAATGTGAAAGTAGAATGAATCGGATAATAAATATGTGTATGTAGAGTCTAAAAGTGCCTACATCCGTACGTTCGGAATTGGCGCCCAACTTAGGCAGCATAGAAATACAAGAGCTTTTATTGGGATAATTGCTAAGGGAAATTCCTTCTGGAAAATATTTTAGCGCCGAAATTTGTGGCTAAAGAGTCGAATATGTATTACAGGGGACGAGATGGGGGGTGGGAGCATGGCAGACTTTGAAGATGAAAAGTTTACGCGGCTAATCACTTGTTAAATTACATATTTTTGTTGTTCTTCCTCGAAAAGGGCCGACTCAATATAAATAATTTTCCATGAAAATTGTGCTTTTGGCAAAGCCATTTTCGTTGTTTGAAAGTTCTTTGGCAAATGGTTGATTACAAGGAAAGACTGTAATTTGCAATTCTTGATTAAAATATAATGAAACTCCCTTGAGTGATGCATTTTATGGCAGGCGCAGTGCAGGCCAAAATAAATTCAAAAGATATTTATGCGTGAAACGGAAGGCATGTAAGATTTATTAGCACTGTAATTACTTTTTGTGGGATGGGCGCTCGGACCGATTCGAGCCCATTTTGCTTGGGTTTATTTTAAGTATTGCTAAGTGGACTGTCGAAAGGGGTGTTGAGTGAGGTTTATTAGCAGGTTTGCGTTTTTTAAATTGACTCCTAATTAAATTAATGTAAGCAAAGCAAACCATTTTTTAGTTGTTAGTAAACAAATTAATTCACCATTTGATCATCCTAGTCGGTTTGGTTCTTTTTAGTTAATATGCCTTTCGGAAAATCGTAATTTAAATAATTTAATAACTGAAAATAAATTATTAATATTTAATTTCGGTAAATTAACACATTCTTCGTCCAACGTAATTATTTATATTAGTAAGGTTTAATTGCTCAGTTTAAATGTTACTAATACAAATCTCCAGACGCCTTCTCGCACGAACATATTATAGGAAGGCAATTTTTCACCGAGTCGGGTTAAAGCGAACTTGGTTGGTTGCAATATGCGGCGGCACGTGACAGCCTTAACCTGTTTTCCATGGAGCGTGGCCGGTCGCACTAGGGAACTCCCGCCCCTTGACGGAATCCCCTCATTTCTGTTGTACTTGACTTAAGCGAATTATCAATTAAAAGTAAATTTCATACAAAGTTTACGTTTTATACATAAAGTAATACTACTTTGCTATATCTAACTATAACTATAACTATAATACCATTTTAAGTTTTCTTAAGGAACCATGAGTTCTGTTATTCTGATACCTCAATATACAAAATATTTATATATTCCCGTATGCTATCATTTTATGCATTTGGCCTAATGAATGCTCACTGTATTGCCCCGTTCCTTTCTCCTACGATCATCAGTCTATTGCTTTATCTGTTTGCTATCACTATTTGTGGTTCAGGTGTGCGTCTTCAGTTTATTTTACTTCGTCTTTAGCTTAATACAGGTCGCTGAGAAGCGCTCGGAAATGAGAGTTCAATCAATTAGTGTGGTTTGCTGTCCCTGAATCCGTATCAAGCGTACAGTATAAAATAAAGCGCGGATAATTTACGCGAAATACTTCGATTAAAGTGTCGTCTCGTGCGTGTCGTTTGCTGTAATCTTAATTCGAGTTGCTTCCCATTCGCAAAAGTTATACACATATTGGACCTGAAACCCAGAAAGTTTTACTTAAACGGTAATTCCGCTTTCGTTTGCCTCATTTCTCCATTATTCTGAACGTTTATTGCGGCTCGGGTTTTTTGTTTGTTTTCTTATTTATAAGTATTTATGTATTTATATACATATATGTATGTACTTATGATTTCGTTGTGACTGCCGTCTAACTGGGTATTTTTTAATTTTATGAGGAGCTTTTTCATATTTATAGATTCTAAAAATTAAGTACAGTCAATAACCGCAAACATTTACATAATACATATGTACATGTTTAATACAACAGTAAACTAACTTTTGGAAGCCGAAGTTTTTATACCCTAAGCTTGCAATTCAAACCAAACTATAAAAATAGGGATCGTATATAACAATTACAATATCCTTAGCCATTTAAACACAGAGAAGGTTTGTAGTTCTTCATAATATATTCGTATTATTTTATATAAATATATTTTATATAAATATATTTTATATAAATATATTTTATATAAATATATTTTATATAAATATATTTTATATAAATATATTTTAAATAAAATCTGAATTGTTATTTTCAAATTATTTAAAATTGCCATATCTCAGAGAAGAAGGAGGAGCAAGGAATATGTGTACTTTATTGAGTCGGAAGTTTTGATTTCACTGCGTATGTATACTATGCTGGCATACAATTATTTAGGTGTTTGGTCATATCCCGTTCTGGGAG